AGCTTTTATGTTTGTTCTGGTTTCTGGTTTTCTCAAGGGGCTTAAAGTGTACCATGAACTTATTTATTTGAACTTTCTGATTTTGTTTGTTTGAACACTTACAGTTATAAACAACTTTCCTCTTAGGACTGGTTTCATTATATACCAAGGATTTTGATATGTTGTGTTTTCATTTTCATTCAAATCTAGGAATTTTAAATTTCCTTCTTTATTTCTTCAGTGGCTCATTCATCATTCAACAGTACATTGTATGATTTCAATGAGTTTCTGTAGTTTCTCATGCTGTTTATTTCTGCCATTCCATTGTGGTAAAATAGAATACTGGGGTTATTGAAACTTACTTTGTGGCCTAATTTATGAACTATTTTACATAAAGTTCCATGGGCTTCTGAGAAGAAAGTATAGTCTTTTGTCTGTTCAGAATGTTCTGTAGGTGTCTGTTAGGTCCAGCTGATTTGTGGTGTTATTAAACTCCGTTATTTCTCTAATTTTTATCTAGATGACCTGTATGTGAAAGGGGAATATTGAACTCATCCACTGTTGCTGTTTTGCCATTAATATGTGACCTTATATGTGGTTACATTTGTTTTATGAAATTGGTTTTACCTCTCTTTGGTACATACATGTTTAGAGTTGAAATGTCTTCTTGATGGATTGTTCCCGTAATATGAAGTGACTTTCTTTATCACTTCTGTCTTGTTTGGTTTCGAGTTTGTTTTTCCAGTTAGAATTAGTTATGACTACTTGTTTACTAGTTCCACTTGCTGGAGTGCTTTTTCCCATCTCTTTACTCTAAGGTGGTGTCATTTTTGATAATGAGTGTGCTTCTTGAAGGGAGCATTCTGTGGTTTCTGGGTATCCCTTCTCCTTAAGCTGTGTAGCAAGTGCTCTGCTCACTTAGCTATCTCCAAACCCTCCATCAATCTTTTATTGGTGAAATTTAAAATATCATAAATTATGTACATGGACTTACAATTTTTTGTAGTCCAGGTTTACAAATATGGAAAAAATGGAGCTTTCTGGGAGATGTAACAGTGGTGTTCCCTAACCTCCAAATTTATCATAAAGGTTGATTTGTTGGTGCTGATCTATGATGAGACTTTCATATCTTGAAAACCTTTGCAAATACCTTTCCACCTGTATATACCAGTACTGTCAAATACCAGTATGCATCCCTGAGACATGGCTTTCATTGAGTGCATTCACAGGTTGGAAGGCATTTTTAGATTTCTATTAACTTAAAGGCTAGAATGTCTTTAGCATGTCATTACATTGCAAATCATTTCCAGTAGAAGCTCCTTAATTGCACACCAAATGGATTTTGGAATATGGAAATTTTCTCTACACATGCATACAGGCCTAAAAAACATTGCTGTGGTTTGAAATTAAAATATATTTCTGAGAATTTGTATAGGAATGAAGATAGCACTTTGAAAAACACATCTTTTGACAGTGCAGGCCTGACATGACTTGCAATTCAAACAATTTTAGTTCTCATCAGAATGATTTTATCACAGTATGTTTCACAGAATCAATTTTCCCTTGTAATTTTAGTTTAAAACATTTTTAAGTCTGCAGCTTAAGCTAATTCCACAGCCCTTCAAAGTTCATGAACAGTGGTTGAACATATATCTTTCAACCATTTAGAAATTTAGAAGCCATTCTTAAGTTGAGAAATGTACCAACACAGGTTAGTCTGGCACATTGGACATACTTTCTGACCCCTGACCTCTAAAGTCTTGAGGAACTGTGTTCTGAGTGTATGTGCCTGTGTGCCAAGGCTTTGCAATCAATTATTAACTTTTAGAAACTTAGCCAATGTGTTAACTCCCTGATGTGATGATTCATTGCATATTGTGCATATATCAAAGTATGACATTTTATTTCTTATAAATTCATATAATTCAAAAAATCAGAAATTAGTTTTTTTGATTTACATTTATTTGAATAATATGAAATATCTTTACATAATTATAGGGCATTTATATTTGTTCATTATAGACTGCCAGTTTATATCCTCTTTTCCATTTTTATTGCAGTAGAATTTTTATTCCAGTGACCATTCTGCACACTACAGAAGTTTTTTCAGTGACTGTGTTTACTGTGCATACTCTGTGATTTCCATCGCTTTCCCATGTGCCCAGCACTTCTCCTGTTGGACAGACCTGCCATCCCTTCCCAGAGTGACTCAAGCTTTGAACACATATGCACAGATGTCATTCACATGCTGCTGCTTCCCCAGTACAGTTCTCATAAATCCTCCACATTCAGAGCAAAGATCAGCTCCTTCCCTTTAGCTCCAGCATGTACAAATAACTGCCATTAAAATCTGTCACAGTTCTTTATAATTCACCATTGGCCTATAATGATCTGTCTCTCTACTAGGTTCAAAAAAATTGAGAATGGAATTGTAATTCACCTATGTTATTTATAACCTGAGTTTAAAAATGGTACCATTAATATTTTTTGTTTTCTTTTTTTAATTTATGTTTTTATTTTTATTTTTTAAATTACACTCATGATATTCATTAATTACACTCATGATATTAATCACATTTGTGGTATTCATAAATTACATTCGCAGTATTCATTCAAATATATATATATATATATATATATATATATATATATACATTATTTTAAATGTCAAATGTCATTTCTTGAAGGGGGTGGGAGATTAAATACAGGCTTACAGCACAATGGGAGGACCCCGGAGGGCAGAAGTTCGCTACTGATGTTTTACAATCTTGCATCTAAGCTGTTAACGCCCATTATTCAGGATACACAGACATGGAACTTCCCTTAAGCATTCAGGAGGGTAGAACCTGGCAGGGAATTAGCATTGGGAAGATATCAAGGTCAAGGTCCACAAGCAAGGCAACAGTTACCCAAAACGGGGGCCAGGACCCTGCAGGTCCCCCTTTTATTAAAAAATGAGCTTCTGACTTGGGTTGCATGGGACATCAGCAGGTCACCTTACCTGTCATGGAGACACCTGCCCAGGCCACACAGGTGCTCCGTCTTAGGTTGGTGAGTGCCTCCCAGGCATTACCCATCTCTGAATACTCATTATCATACAGGCTCAATCCTGTGTGAGCTGCATGGTTAATTGCTGCCAAAGATCTCAGAGTGGCACTGGGCTTGTAATCTGTGTGTTCAATACAGAAATAACCAACAGAGGTCCTATCTCACCCATAGCCAGTAGGCTAAAGGCAACTGAGCCATTCCCTTCCTTAATGAGCCATACTGTACGTTGGAGTCCTTGTTCTTACAAGTATCCCAAAAGCAACTGGAACTTGAGTTTATAAGTTTATTATTTTCAAAGCCAATCAAGATGTATATAACTACTGAATTAAATTTATCATGCCCAATAGAATGAAAGATTAACTAACTGTAGTAGCTACTTTTGTTGCCAGGGTCTCCACTGTGCTAGCTGTAGTAAGCAATTATGAAATGGTAATCCCAGAAACAGTAGCAGCAGTGTGCACCATTGTTAGAACAGCAACAGTGGCAGCAACAATGTCAAATTCTCTTCTGGATTGTGTGGACATCCACTGGCATGGATACAACTCCAGGAACACGAACTGCCAAGGCCTGTTTTTCTTGATCCCAGCATGACTTTAGCTGGCAGCTATTCTGGAGAATCCAATCTCATGGCTACAGTTCCTAGACTTACATTAATGCTTGCCAAAGCTGGTCATATTGAGCTCTCAATCTCCATTGGCATCAGAAGGGTAGTTTTTTTCATGAAGACCCATTAGGTCTCTGTCATGTTGGGCTTCAGCAGCAGCCACAGAGCGCGTTCAGTGCTCAGGAATCCAGGAAGTATTAATATTAACACATATTTTCTAGGCTCATAAAAATAAAGTTCTATGTAATATTCCTTGTATAGAACTTAGTGTAGCTGGACGATGGTAGCACATGCCTTTAATCCCATCACTCAGGAGGCAGAGGCAGGCAGATCTCTGTGAGTTTGAGGCCAGCCTGATCTACAGTGAGTTCTAGGAAAGGTGCAAAGTTACACAGAGAAACCCTGACTGGGAGGGGGGAAAACTTAGTGTAATATATAGTCAGGCTTTCTTAGAGCTAGTGCAATGACATGAACTGGTAGGACCAGCTATTTAAAGGCAGAAGAAAAAGGAACATTTAAGCTTAAGAGTTTGAGACCAGCCTGGACTGCAGAGAGAAGGGGGAGCGGGGAGAGACTTCCTGCACACTAAATCCTTAAATATGTACACACAGGCACAACTAAGGTTTTCATTTTTAATAAAGCTGATTGTTGATTATTAGAAACATGTTTTTTGCCTTATAGCTTAAAATAATTAGTTATAACTGTTCGCTAAGAAAAATTAGCTGTGGAATGGTCTTTCTGTATGCTGTGAATATGTGTTCAATAAAGAAACTGCTATGGCCGAGCAGTGGTGGCGTACGCCTTTAATCCCAGCACTCGGGAGGCAGAGGCAGGCGGATCTCTGTGAGTTCGAGGCCAGCCTGGGTTACAGAGTAAGTTCCAAGAAAGGCGCCAAAGCTACACAGAGAAACCCTGTTTCAAAGAACAAAAAAAGAAAAAAAGAAAAAAAAGAAGAAGCTGCTATGGTCTATGGCAAGGCAGAATAGAGCCAGGCAGGGAGTTCAATCAGAGACACATGGAGAAGAAAGACAGAGTGAGGAGATGCTGTGAGCCGCTGCCCAGGAAACAAGATGTAATGGAACACAAGAAAAGCCACTGATCATGTGGCGATGCATAGATTAATAGAAATGGGTTGAGTTGTAATAGCAGTTAATGATAAGCCTGAGCCATAGGCCAAACCGTCTCTAATTAATATAAGGCTCTGTGTGTTTACTTGGGACTGAGTGTCTGCCAGACACAGGAAAACAGAAAAAGAATATTCATTGGCCACATCTATTTTGTTATCTGAACATTTCTTCCTTTGAGACTCCACTTTGTAACTTTATCAAGATTACTTTCTAATCAGTCTTTGTCTTCTTTGTTTCCAAAGGATATTCATTACCTTGCCCTGGATGTGGGTGAACTGGCACTGGCTGAAGTGGCGAGAAGAAGAGCATGTGACATTGATGTCATGTCAGTATCTTCTGGAGTTGGTAAGAGCTGTAGAGGTCAGCTGTTAGGAGCACTGACTGTTCTTCCAGAGGACCTGAGTTCAATTCCCAGCACCCACATGGCAGCTCACAACTGTCTGTAATCCAGTTCCAGGGTATCTGATGCCCTCACACAGACATATATACAGACAAAACACAACACACATAAAATAAAACAAAATACTTTTTAAATGTGCTTTGGTTCTAGGGAATTCTTAATGTTATTTCTATCGTTTATAGGGTATAATTTATTTGAATTACTCTTTATAGAACACAGTGTACTTAAAAGAAATACTAAGCCTTGAGAAATAGTAGAATATTCTTAAGCTGAAATTTTAAAAGAAATTGATAAGTAGTAACAGCCAAGGTCACTGTTTAGCAGAATGTAAAATCACATTGCTCTTTTTAATTTATTATTATTATTATTATTTTAAATTTTTATTTGTGTGTGTGTGTGTGTGTGTGTGTGTGTGTGTGTGTGTGTACACCAAAATGTGTAGAGTATAGAAAACAGTTTATGGGAGTTGATTCTCTCCTTCCACTGTGTGGATCCTGGGGCTTGAACTCAGACTATCAGGTTTGGCACCCAACGCCTGTACCCTCTGCGCCATCTTATGCTCCACATTGCTCTTTTCATGAGATCTGGGGAGAAAGAGACGAGTGTGTTGTCACCATCAGTGCTGTCGTGAGCCAACATGGAAGCTTGCATAACCATTAACTGATGGCACAGATGTGTCACATATTAAACTAATTCTCGCCCTTATCAGGGTATTTCAGGGTTCATGTGTGTGCTTTTTTGTCATAGCTGCTAATGTTGCTGTTTAATGTAGTATTCTAAAGATAGACCAAAAGCCAACATTGACTCTTAAAATCCATTTAAACTTTATAATGTAACAAAATAAAAGGTTTTGTATATAGTATAACAAAGTGAAAATACACCAGCATTCACTTTGTTTCTAAACCCAGCTTGTCTAAGGCTGCTGAGTGTGCCAGTATTGACAAATGCATATCAAAATTTTTATTCCTCTCAGTTCTTCTATTTGTGGTCTACAGAAAAGACTCCCGGGACTGTAGTAGACTTGATTTCTATGTAATGTCTGTGTAATTCCTCAACACAGTTTTAGAAGATTCCCACTTCAGAAGTACTATAGTGAGTTTCTTCCCCAGTGAGTCATATAAGGCTTTGGTTTTGTGGTGTTTGTATCCAAGGCCACCACTTCTCGGTTTCTCTTGAATCCCACCACCATCGATTCTAGTCCTCATGGTGTAATTCTAAAGGGGACAAATCCACAGAACCGGGGCCAAACCAGTCAGAGATTCTGATGTTGTCGGGTTTAAGTAGGGGAGAAAGAGAGGCATTTTCGTCATGATATAACACAGCCATGTGGTTAATGCCCACAAAACATAAAATTAACCTTAGGAAGAATTAGATGGTAGTGGTAAGGTATAGAATATTTTGTCTCTATTTCTTCTTGCTTTTTGGTACTATATAATAAATTTATGTTGCTTATTATTAGGACAAGAATAGCTAAAATAAATATACAAAGGATGATATTCTGTATTTAAAATTATGTTAGAAAACACAAATCCTATAAGCCAAAACTCAATAGCTCCATTATAGTAAAGTCATAATGTAAATTGAGACAGTGTAAATGTTGTTGACCTAAGTGGAGGATTTGTTCATTTTTATGCTACTTGATTATTTCAGGCATTCTCAATCTGTAATCATCTACTGTCTGAGTAATTAATGTAGCAGGTTGTGTTGAACACATAAGTAACCTTGGGAAGATTTGTGAGAATGGCTGCTTTGGGCTTTAGAACACAGCATGGTGAGAGAGCTGAATCTGGACTCTGGCACCTGATTGGCTGTCAAACAAGACCATGAGTAAGGAACTGACCTTCTCTGTGCCTAGCTTTCCTGTACTCAACACATTCTTTTTTTTTTTTTTTTTTTTTTTTGATTTTCCGAGACAGGGTTTCTCTGTGTAGCTTTGCGCCTTTCCTGGAACTCACTTGGTAGCCCAGGCTGGCCTTGAACTCACAGAGATCCACCTGCCTCTGCCTCCCGAGTGCTGGGATTAAAGGCGTGCACCACCACCACCCGGCGTACTCAACACATTCTTAATAGGTACTAGATTATAGTTACAGGTTATATAGCCATAGTTATACATGCATAATTATGTAGTTATGGGTTATAGATTAGCATGGGCTTGGGTTAGTTAATTCAAGCTTTGAACAGTGACTGGCAAAGAATAAGTTTAGTAATGGTTAGCGATTAATAGTGCCTTTCAAATTAAAACATGGCATGTGTTTGTAGTAAGAAAAATTTTTGAGTGATAAGCTGCAACGCCTATAAAATACAGGTGTTACTAATTATTTTTAATTATACACTAATTCCTAACTCTAAGGGTTCACATTATGTATTAAATATAGAGTAAATTGTTTGTGTTGGGCGAGAAGTAAGTGTGGGCATCCTGTGAGATTTTCCTTTAAAGAAGACTGTGTCATTTGCAGTGTAAGGCTGAGAAGTCCTATGGACATCACTCTGCAGCACAGTATAAACTATATGGTGTATCTGCTTTTTACACTGATTCATAACCTAGGGTTCATGAGTGTTATGGTCTCTTGTTTGATTCTAGGAATATTCCTCTTAGGTATTAGATGAAGTATTCTCTCTGGAATATTCCCAGGATGCCATTGAACAAAATGATCACAAATCACAGTGACTTAACAGAGAAAGTGCCTTGCTCTGTCTTCACAACCCAGAGCTGTGCTCCAGGACTGGCTGGCCCCACCACTGGGTCCTAAGACTCAACTTCACCACCATGAGGCTGCATCCTCATCTTGCTTTTTGTTTACTAACATGCTATTACTACAGTCCCTCATCACTAAAAAACATTCGAGGCCTGAGTTTTAGCAAGTTCTCTTCTTCCTAAGATGCCTGTTTGGTTTTCCTAGAGTCACGGTAAAGGTGTACAGAAATAATATCCAGCAGGTGCCACAAGGATAAAAGCAAAAGTTGGTTCATAGAGTATCTTGTTCTTAAAACACCAAGAAATCAAATAAACACAGGAAAAAATGTTCAGCCTTACTCTTGCCATCAGGGAAACACTGATCAATATTGAGATTCCATCTTATTCCAGTAAGAATGACAGTTACTGTGAAAAGAAATAACAAATGCTGGTGAGGATACAGACAAAAGGGAAGACCCACACACTGGTGACAGGAATGCAGAAGCCTAGGCCAACCATTATGGAACTCTCTCAATAAAACTAAAAGTGGAGCTGCCATCTGACCCAGCTCTATCACTCCTGGGTCTTTCCCCGAAGGACCCTGAGTGAGCACATCACAGAGATGTTTGCACAACAGTGTTTCCTGCAGCACGGTTCATAATAGCTAAGCTCTGGAATCAACCTCGTGTCCAACACGAGGTAAATGAATAAAGGAATGTGGTGCCTATACAATGGAATTGTCAGCCCTGAAGACTGAAGTAATATCATTTGCAGGAAATTGGATGCAACTGTAGGTTTTTCAAATAAAGCCAATTAAGCCAGTTTCATGAACACAAATATTGTATGTGTTCTCTCCTTTGTGGTTCCTAGATTTTGTATAAATACATAAAATCATGCAAGTCTATTTGACTAGAAAGAGGAAGTGCGACTGTGTGGGGAGCAAAGGAGACAGCAGGAGAAGGGGGTGAGCAGAGGAAGGGTAGAGAGGTGGGTGTGCACTTGTAGGAAAACTGTAACTATTTAAGAGTGTCCTGTTCTAAAATTGAATTTCATAAGAAAATTTCAATTCCGTAAGTAACTTCAGTTGTGGCTGACTGTCCAACTTTACCCTGTGCTTGACAGGCTATGTGATGTCGCCTGTCACCTAGGAGTACATTCATGCCAGCCTGCTTTTGACTCTACTTCACCTTTCTCGTCTGCCTTAGTTAGGGTTCCTGTTGTTGTGAAGAGACACCATGACAACTCTTAGAAAGAAAGCATTTAATTGGGACTGGCTTACAGTTCAGAGGTTTAGTCCATTGTCATGGCGGCTTGCAAGTAGACATGGTGCTGGAGAGGCAGCTGAGGGTCCTGCATCTTGACCCGCAGGCAGTAGTAAATGAACTGTGTTCCACATCTGTCAAGTTTGTTCTGGGGATTTTTGCATGAAGAGATAGTTCTAAGCCTGTCATTATGATCAGCTCATCAAGAACTACCAACTGCTTTGCTTGGCTGCAGAGCTCTTTACAAAGCTAGATTACCACTGAGGGCTGGAGAACTGTCGGTGAGACTCCTAAAATACAATGGTTTCAAACCTTTGTTCGTTCTCTCTCTCTCTCTCTCTCTCTCTCTCTCTCTCTCTCTCTCTCTCTCTCTCTCTGTGTGTGTGTGTGTGTGTGTGTGTGTGAGATATGTCAACCACAGAATGTGGTGTTTCAACGAAGACCAGTTCTTAGGCATTGCTTTTCTTCTAGATTAAATATTCGTTTCTAAGAGAAATAGCTATTATTTAAATATTTTAGGAAAAATTCTTATTATTTAAATACTTTTTATCTTTTATTTCTTTGTGGGACTGGGATTAAATGTAGGGTCTCATGTATATTAGCCAAGTGCTCTACCACTCAGCTACATACCCCACTCTTTAATATAGTTTTGAATTCTAAAATATTAAATTATTGTATTTAATATTGCCTATCATTAAATAAGCAGTTACTAAGCAAAGGATGATAGTATTTTACTAAGGAGATATTGTGTACGCTATGTTGAATCCAAAGCTGGAATACTATCAGGATAAGAGTATAAAGCCGTGGTTCTCAATCTCCTAATGCTGCAATCCTTTAATACAGTTGTTCCTCATGTTGTGATGACCCCAACCATAAAATTATTAAGTTGCTACTTCATCACTGTAATTTTGCTACTGTTATGAATCATAATGTAAATATCTGATTTGCAGGATATCTGATAAGTGACCCCCAAAGGGGTCACTGTAAGCAATGCAGCTGGGATGGAAAG